CACACACACACACACACACACGCACACACACACACATCAAAAAAACAAAACGAACGACTCTTTTTATTTGTCTTGGATAAGCGTTTTAAAAATGATGACTTCAAAGTCTTAACATTTGAAATAGGTTAATGAATGCTCTTGGCCACTTTTCTTTTGCGATGTATTGACCTTTTTCGATTGGTCTGTTAGTAAAAACTGGTATTTCAATATATAAAAAGCAGTTATTGTTAAACAGGATCAAAACAGCATACTCCTTTTAGATATTTAGCTGAATGAAGTTTTGTTTTCATGTTTGTTAGGTAATGGGATGTGGTAGCATCTTTATGCTTTCTTCAAGAACTGGCTGCGGTTTGTTAATGTCTGTAACACAAATAATGCGACCATAATTTGTAAACGTTTGAATGGAGACATGATTTTGTCTTGAAATCGAGTTGTTTTCTTAAAGGTATTTCAGATCACAACAAAGCTGTTGTTAATGCTTGCAAGTGTGTGTGTGTGTGTGTGTGTGTGTGTGTGTGGGGGGGGGGGTGTTAAATAATATGTAGGCCTATGTGGGCATTGTTCTTTTGGTTTTGGTTTAGGTAGTGACTGCGAGTGGGTTGTCCTAGATTTTGTGAACGAAGGAGTGTGTTGTTTACTGTTGTATTCGCACGCGTTCGTTTTGACATTTTTTATCGCATCTCATCTCCTGTTGTCTTTCTTTCTTTCTTATCTTTTCTTTCTCTCGGCATTCCGTCACAGTCGTGTTCCCGTATGGAGAGGTCAGACTGTGTGGAGCGGGTGTCTGTGTAAAAGTGCAGTGTATCGTGGTAGACAGGGATACGGCCGGAGTCCGCCTTGGGAGCGACGCGGTATGAGCTAGGGAATAGGACCATCTCGTAAGGCTGGGAAATCAATCGATAGGAAAAAATCCATAGCCACGGGCTGGGCCGGCCGCGTGGAGAGACAGCGGGGAGCCGGCGAGAGAGCAAAGACGGATAGGCTCCGGGAGAGGTGGGGGGAGAGGGAGAGAGAAAGCGAGCGAGACCCTCCGTTCTGAGGCTGTGTATTGGAAGTAGGGGGGGAGTCTGGTTCGTGTGTGCCTCGTTGTGAAGCTGGAGATGATCTGTGGTCAGAGCATGTCGCCAGGAGAGACATAAGAGAACTGACCACAGCGGATCACTTATTTCCTTCTCCCGGATCTATTTGTTGTGTGGCGATGGTGAGTGCGCGCGTGCGTATTTGTGTGTGCGTGCGTGCTTGTGTGTCTGTGTATGCTTTCTTCTAGTGGCCTATGGTTCGCGAGGCCAGCGAGCAGGTCACCGCCGACCTAGTGCCACTCGCCACCCATCGTCTCTTGCTTGACACCCGCTGTGAGACTGCTCTCTGCACTATTGCCGTGTTCGCAGGACACTGCTGGAATTCCCTGGATTTTGTTTGAAATTGGATATCTGTTAGATTAGGTTTTTTTTGTAACTTCCAGTGCTACCGACCGAGTCACGTTTGTCTTCTTATTGGCTGCAGTAAGAGTGTCTGCAGTCAGGATATGGATGGTTGGATGGATTAGTGGATCATCATCATCATCGTCATCGTCATCATCATCATCATCATCATCATCATCATCATCATCATCATCATCATCAGCATCATCATCATCATCATCATCGTCGTCGTCGTCGTCGTCGCCGTAGTTGTCGTCGTCTACATTGTTCTCATAGTTTTCATCACGGGTTTTTGTTTGTCACCTTCTGTCATCAGACTGTGTCTTATCATATTATATCACCCTACATTATTTCACGTTTTATGCGGTCAAGTTTTTTACTCTTCTATTTGTTTTTCTAATTTCTACTGTACTAAGAATTCGCGTTCTCGGTCAGTAAAGCCTCGTTTTTTCGTACACCGTGGGGAAATAGAGATGATGACTTTCAAATTTAGAAAAAAAAGAAAGAAAAAAGGGTCAGAGAATGCTTGGAAATGGGTCACTGTAGATTATTATTAGTAGACAAGTACGTAATATTACAAGGTAACCGAAGAAGTAAGATAGTTATTTTGTAGTGTACTCGTAGAGACAGCAGCACAAGGCTTCTCCGTGACATGTTATTTTCTTTGTCGAGTCGAATCGTGGCCGGTTTAATCTCCACTATCGATTTGCTGTATTTTGAAAAGAAAAAAGAAAATAGGGCGAACTGGAGCCTGGCGTTGCGTTCGGATGTGTGCGTGCTCTAGCCTCCTTGGACGACACATACCTTTACTGGTACTCGCTACCCCCAAGCCTCTCTCGCATAAATAAACGTAACCATTAACACAGAAATACACAGATAGATAGATGGATAGATATCTATAGATAGATAGATAGATAGATAGATAGATAGATAGATAGATAGATAGATAGATA